GGGGGGGGCCTCCTGGCTGGCCGACGGGGCCGTTTGGCTGGGCTTTGGGGGTCTTATGGCGAGCGCCCCGCCGACCCGTTAGTGCTGGTGGGCTGTGTGACGGCGGTGCTCGCCTCAGCCGACGAGCTGAAATACACCGGGGAGTCGGGCGGGAATTGAGCCTGGATATGAAAAAAGTTCCCCCCGGCCCGGCTTCTCACCCGGTATACTCGCCTCCCACACGGGAACTGAAATCTGCGAGCCGGGAGCGAGGCTTCTATCGGCCAAATGACCGGTCACGACCACAGGGGAAATTTTAAAGTCTTAAAAATGGCACAAAAACGGAAAACATTTCCTTCATACTTTGGGAGAAATTTTGGCGCGCGACTACCGCAGGGTGTCGCAATACAATAAAAATAAGGGATTAGAAGGCAAGAGAGTAATTTTCGTAATGTTATTTTCTTCAAATCTAATTTAGTTAAAACGCAACGTCGGACTCGTTTGCGTCAACTCCACGAGCTGCACCGCCACACCGTACGGGCAGAACGGCCTCCGCCGGGGAGCCCCGCGAGACCGCGCCAACGACCAGGGCGGGACCAACGCGTACAGTACTGGGCGAGGCCGGCGAGGCCGGCGAGGCCGGCGAGGCCGGCGAGGCCGGTGTCTGGGCACGGCTGGCACATGCAGCGGTGCGTACGTGGAGAAGGTACTCACGCGCTGTATGGACAGAAGGAGGTCGGCGAGGCGTCCGAGCCGCGACCCCCGCCCGCACCTGGCCCTGCGCGCCGCCGGGCCGGGGGGAGGGGAGGGCCGCGAGCGCTGCGAGGACGAGAGGGCGCCGCCGAACAGGCACCGCAGCTGCGATCACCAAAGTCACCTTCTTGGCGACCTCACAGAGTCACAGCACCGCAGCGACACGCGGCGGTGGTCCGGGGGGCGGGGCGCGGGCGGACACCACGTGGATCCCGGCTGCCGCGAGAGGCAGCTCGTCGCGGGGGTGCCTGTCTGGCCCGTGTCGGGGGGCGGCCAGCGAGGCGCTCAGGTCCTCCGCTACCCCGTGCTGGAGCGGCACTGCCACCGCGAGTCTCCGCCGGGGTTGGGCCGGTGCCGCGCGCAGGCCGCTGCCCCCCTCCCTCCACCGTATCCCCCGGCGCGATGGACACGCACGTGATGAAGGGCCGTGGGTGGATATGTGTGATAGGACGGCCGCTGGCTGTCACTCCGACACCAGCACAGGGACGAGTTCTCTCCCCCCGCCCCCCCCACCCCCCAATTCTCGGCCGAGTTTTGACAACAACAAAAACGAGCAGAGTAGGAGTAGGAAATATTTCACACGTGAATGAATTTACAGTAATCTTTTATTTCAGTTTTATCCTTGCCACTGATCTGGATGATGGGGATGAGGGTCAAACCTCGGAAGGCGTGTCACCGTCGTCGCGTTTTGTCGCCCCCTCCCCCTCCCCAATGCCAGATCCTTCGGGGGACGATAAACCAACTCGGCGACGTGGTCTCCCCCAACAAAGGGGGCGAGGGCGCGGCGGCGTGGGGTGACTCGGGTTGATCAAGAAGAAGGGTTGGTTGCGTCCGGAGTGGAGTGGCAATGGTGAGCTACGCCTACCGAGCCCCCACCCCTCTCCTCAACCCTTTACCCCTCCTCTACACACCTTGGCACGTTCGTACGTTCGTTGCTCCTGCCTTCACGCCCCCACCCCCACCCCCTACCCGGATTCAGACAAAAACGATCAAAAAAGAGGGATACAGTCGTCTTGTAAAGTTGGTTCACTAAATGTAGACACCAAGGCAGGCCAGTCCCTATTGTGAGTACAATGGATCCCTATTCTACTCACAATAGGGACTGGCCTGCCGTGGTGTCTACATTTAGTGAACCAACTTTACACCGCGTCCGCGTAGTCGTTGGCGACTTCTGTGTTCTAACAGGAACAGCAGGCGCTGTTTTAAGTCGGGCTAGTGCAGGGGTCGATTTACTGAGGGTTGCCTAATTTTCAGGCGGTTTGTAGATCAAATTGCCTACCTGTTAGGCGGCCCTGACACAGTACTGACCCACCACACGCCACACGGAGTACTCGTGGAGTACTGTTTCTGAGGCCAGGTAGGCCTCCACTGTCGGAGTTCCACAAAAAGAGACGGGTGAAACGGCGACACGTTTGATTATTTTTATTTCCACTGAAAAATGTTTGTCCCGAGAAAATTTTTGATTTGATTTGAACCACTTCTTGCACTTTTAGCATGCTACTAACTAAACCACCTAACCGAACCGACTCAAGTAGATAGATGCTGACGGTTTCAATTTTAATTCAAAACGAAGTGAAGCTGCCGCTCCACGCACAAGCCTGTAAATAAAAAAAAAATCCCTCTACATTCATCACCAATGTCAGGAAGATCTACGCATCTTCACCGAGTATACCGCAGTGACACATTTAACCGATTAGGAATTTTGTGTTTGAAATTTTGTTCCAATTTTAAGTTTGATCGAATGATTTGAAATTACCCTGAGTTATCCATATTGCAATTTTTCGCTCCAATGTTGTCACCCTGTTGAGTCAACAGCCAATCAGCGCACGGCTTGGCTTGAGGAACCGCGTCCCGCATCGCCGACTGTTAACCCCAGCCTAGCCACCAACTAGCTGTTGTTGTTTTGTTATCATATGGCATAAATCAAGTTGTCTGTCAGCCCGAGGTAACAAAAGTTCGATTATGTTTCTTATAGCTGTAAGAATATTTTCAAACGCTGTAGTCATCTATTGGAAATTCTGCGTATAATCCCACTCCAAAAATAAGACAGACAATGTTAGCGCGACCCACCCTGCGCACGAAGCTAGAATTGAAGTGACATAACCTCATCCAATGCCCTATTTTTGTTTCATTTCAGTTCAAAGGGTCAAAATTTGCCTGCATTGCTAAATTTGTGTTCCATTTGGTGAAAAGATATTCTATGTGTTTTCAAGGATGAAAGAAGATACATTGGAACTTGCTGACTGCATTGGGGAGAGTGAGGACAGAGAAGCAAAACCCAGTTCTTCACCTATCATGACAGACTCAGGAGATACTGGAAAATGCCCTCTAAAAAGAACCTACTCGTCAGATGACGAAGATCAGAGACCAGTCAAGTTTCCAAGGATTAGCTCACCCTCTGCCGAAAGTGTTTTTCCATCTGTTGAACACAGTGATGTCAAAACTGTGATAACAGATTGTCAAAATACTTTGAATGATCCGGACCCTGAAGCTGGATGCTCCAAAGATTATGTGGCATATAATTCTGAAGCATCTCTTGAAGTAGGAGACCACAAGGATCCCCTCACAACAGACAGTCAAAATAGCAAACAAGATGCCGATGAAGAGTCTACTTTGCCTGTTGAGTTGATGAATTTATCAGATGATGTGTTGCTAATCATCATGTCAAATCTGAAACCAACTGATCTACAAAATCTCAGCTCGTATGTATCATCTTCACCTACCTTTCTATTGTGTCTGTTGCTTTTCCTAATTAGTGCATTTTATGTCAGTTGTTGCCAGCGCCTTTGTCGAGTAGCAAGTGATTGGAGCTTGTGGATGGATGTGGATTTTAGACCTCACAAATTGCTTGAGGGTCAGCTGCAACGATTCTTACCGTTTTTTAGTGATACTACAGAGAAAATAGTAACCAGGGGCTTTGTTGCGAGTAAACCTATGCCTCGTTGGAGAACAGAATGCTTATCAAGTGAATTATTGTCTTCAATTGCCACTGAATGTCCAAACTTACGCACATTTATAGCTGAAGAACATTGCATTGATGCTAATAAGGTAAATGTGATACAGACTCATTTCCTTTTCTCTTGAATTTTGTTATACTCCAATTTTGAAAGCAACTTAATATAAATAATTACCTTTCTTTGCAGATTAAGATATCAGCTTTTCCTTCGGGAATTGAACATCTCTCTTTGAAGGCTTGTGAAATTATCAATCCTCCAACAGAGTCCTCTTATTTCAACAGTATATGTCGATATCTTCCACATTTGAAGGTAATAATTTTTTTCCTGCTTTGAAAGTATGTTGTTTTTGTTTTCTTGAAGTTAGTTTCAATACCTCTTGGTTCAAGGTTTTGGAACTAACTGATTGCAAGTGGCTTCCCCCTCACTCCATCATGGCTCTAAGTAAGCTGAAACATCTTGAGGAGCTTCATCTGGATGGCTGTTCTTTAATCAAGGACTGCATAGCTTATGCCAGTTTGGCATTCAACTTGGGTTTTTCACAGCTTAAGGTACGGCTTTCTTGTTCCTTTTACCAGTCTCTGTGATCTCACTATTTCTCAAACCTTTAAATTGTTTAAAATACTGAGTGTGACAGGTGTGCCGTATATTCATTTTATCTTTCAGGTTCTAGACCTGAGACGAACTGGTGTTTCTGACAGTGAACTGTCTTGTCTAAACCGTTCCAATCGCCTTACCCATCTTTATCTGGAGTACCCTTACAGTAATGGTATTGATAATAATGAAAATGGAGCCCCTCGAGCTTGTCATCTTCCTGGAATCATCAGTGATCTAGGGTTGAGATCACTAGTTATTTCAGACAAACCACATGTATTGTTTAACAATGCTCAGTTTGGTATTGTCAGTGAAGAAATTCATGTGATGGCTCCCTTAAAAGACAGGGTACTGTTTAAATTAGTTTTTTCTTTCTCTCTCTTAGCCGTATGTTATATTTTCAGTTTCTCTCATCTAATCTATCTTTTTTTTTCTCTAGGTTTCCCTTTGCAAACTCCATACACTTGTAGCAAGAAATTTCAAGCTCGTCACAGATGCTACACTAAATGAACTTCATTTTGCTCAGAGTTTGCGTTATTTGGACCTTAAGGGAACTCAAATCACACACCATGGTGCAGAAACATTCCGATCTTCAAGACCTGATGTCACTCTCATCACAAGTTATGATGATGAGTTTACATAATGTGTTTGTGATATTTTACTAACTAAAATTTTGAGATGTTATTATGATCCGTGATACTGCTTAATCCTCTATGTTGTAATTGGAATAATTGATCAGCATGAGAAGATTATCAGCCCTCTTTATTTTCTTTCTTTCATTAGCTGTTTGTTCCATTTCTAAAAATTTATGTGATTTTTAATTATGCATGTAATATTGAATGGTTTTATGAAATATGCATGGCTACAAGTATCACTTGACGAGACACCTTTATTTGGTATACAAGCAAATATTCGCCCGAGTTACCAAGTTGCTGCTTCAATAGCACAACTAATTTGAGATGTTTAAGCCCCTGAACATCTCTCTTCCTGCATACCTGACTATTGAGTTCAGTACTCAAAATATTAAAAATAATATTTTTCTCTTCTCAATTAATTTTTCATTGCACATCATTTATGTAGCCTGTCTAAACATATACAATAAGCAGGTACTCATTTGGAAAGTCAAATCAAGTTCTCCCTTCAGGTGACTTTCTGTGTTTTCTGTAAATATCTAAAACTATCTACACTCATTTGAATATTTTTACCTGGTGATTTTTACCTGACCTTGTGCTTCTTATTATTATTATTAAATTTGAATTCCATCTGCAAATTTCTCAAGATTCATCTTCATCCCTCTATATTCCATGACATGCTACATGGATGAGACTTTATTTCAGCTGTTATTGTAAACATGTTTGTGTGTTTTTGTGTGTTTTTGTGAAGTTTAGTGTGTATATAGTGTCTCAAAACACATCTAAAACGGAATGTAGCTTGTATTCTGTTTAAAGGTATGAGAATGCTTCTTTCATAGATTGCTGTTACAATTTTTTTCACTGTTCTATGACCCTTATTTCCCACACTAGATTTTGTTTCTAGGAAGTTCCTTTATGAATTGTCATGTTTTAACTCCTGACGTTTTCTCTCCTCTTTCAATTGTTTCATAAATCATACTTTGTTTAAAAGCGAAGACTGCTTGTTGGTTAGTGCAAAATTGTGTGGACTTCAAAAAATTCTCCTGACAGTTGTGTGAGGAATGTTCACAAGTGCTTCAGCACTCATTTTAAAGACTTAAGTTATGTACATCATTTCCATTTTGTCAAATTTATAGGACTTAAGTGATAAAACTTCTAAAATGTTAACAGGGTAGCTCAATGTGTTTGTTACATCTGGCATCACCTTGCAGACTAGAAGTAAGCTTGTACTATGTGTGGAAGTGTGTTTGGATCAATTCAGCTTTAAAATACAGCTATAAAAGTATTTTTTTTTCCATGTAGAAACAGTTGAGCACATGTCAAAATCGCATCAGATATTTTTCATGAAAGATGTCTTTTGTAGTGTAAATTTTATGCATTCTGTTGGACCTCTTTAGGAAAAATTCTTTAACATGTTATGTGTAGAAGTCATTTCCCTCTTATTGGAGAGCCTCACTGGGGAACAAATATTTTCAATGAAAAGAAATGCTGATATGTTATATCTACATTTCATATGATTATCAATTCAGAGTGCTACATCTATAAAAGCACTGTAACATTGTTTGTTTGTTTGTTTTGTCCCAGAGTGTGTAGTGAGAGGTAGAGAGTTATTGGTTGATTGATGTTATATGTACAGGCAGGAGTTGATATTCAATGAAGAGCTTGTGATAACGACTATCATTATTATCATCATGTATCATCAAAATTTTGAAAGGCATCCCGCCTTCTTTCTATAAAACAGTAATTTAATGTTGAAGTAGCAATACCTTGTATCTGCAACAGTTCTGTGATGTAACTTTTGTTGTTTTTCTTGAATCATTAATATGCATTTGTCAGACGTATATCTACATATATATATTCTATATATATATTTGATGCATTATGTGCATTGTTTTCTTTTTCTTTATTGTTTTCTTTTGTAAAAGTTCATATACCTTCTGTTAATTTCCTTATTTATTGTAATTTAGAAACACATGAAAACTCTTATTTATTTTTGATTCAATGTTCAGAGATTACCTGATTTCTGCTTTGTTGGATGGATTGTTTGGTAAAAAAAAAAAAAAGTCTAAAATACTTAATGGGACGGTTGTTGACGTACTGTATTGTACTTAAAACGACTTGAAACTAAGGAATGGTAAAGCACTGCATTTAGGTACAGGTCATAAAAGCAAAAGCAAATCTATCTGTTATATGGGCAAAAATTTCATTTCGTTTGATAACCATCAAACTACAATTGTATAATGTCAGGAAAAGTGAAGCTTAAGAGCTTCTCGCATTTAGAAAGTTTGCTGACCTTCATTGCTCTATGTAGTAAACTAGATTTTGACCATAGAAGAACTCTCAGCCACGTTCCTAAACTTGGCAAATTTTAGAGTTGAAAGCCATGCATTAGAATTTGGGCATGACAACAGTGGTTGTGTTCTTATAAATGAGTGCTGCGCTATCACTGCCAAGCCTCTTTTTTTATTAAAAAATTAAAATCTAATTCAATGGGCTGCTCATGTATTACACCATGGTATTCATGCCTAGAGACGTGTCATAGTTTTTACACTTTCCAGAGAAGAAAATTTGGTTAACATTAATGAGATTTATTTTAGGCCATTTGTGACGTATGAAGGATGTGAAAGTGATTAGCATTAACACAGAGAACTAAATCTTACAGGGTTTAGCAATCGTTGCTTGCATAAAATATGTCATGTTGTTTGTGAGCGTAGTTATTTACTGACAGTGCATTACAACATAACAGATTTGGTGATTTTTCTGAGCAATATTTTATGTACTATAGTGTAAGGGCACACATGTTATGTAGTATAATTTTAGCAATCAATGTCATACTGCATTGACCGATATGAAAGGGAAAAAATGTTACATCTTAAGGTTTGTTTTTAAGTGGCTTTACTGTAGTGTGCAATAGTTATGGCCATCAGAGATGTATTTTTTAGTTAAAGCCCTTCATATCTGATAAATAAATGCAAAAGTTTTGGCTTGTATAAGGATGATTAATGTAATTTGGAATTTTCATTTCCAAACACTCACCTTAATAATGTGAGTTGAATTTTAGCAAAATAGGACCCATAAGGTGCTTGGAACTTTTACAAGAATGAACATCTCTCAATAAGTAAAAGTCTCAAAACTTTCTGTTATTTAAATTAAAAAAGATACATATTGTTTGTAAGTCTAGATATACTGAAAGTATCAAAATGCACTTTTTGAACTTTGTCAAGTTGCTAGAACTCTGTAGACATTATATTTTACTTAGGTGATATCTGCTAAAATTGTTCTCACATCTAACATCAGGTTCAGTCCATTTATTAAATCTTTCAAGATTGCTCCACACATGTTGTCATCACTTGGCTCTTCTCTAACATTTCATTTTCAACTCTCCAACAAAGTGCTACATTAGCTTCAACACTATTTTCTATCAGGAGTTTTTACAATCCCATGAAGGCTATGTTAGTTGTGTATGTGGTTATGATGTTCATTGAGTATTTCAATGGAGGGGTTGTATTAATTAATGATGAAAGACATTAGCATCTTACATTACATACCCGCGCACTGATGCTGTTTAACTAATCTGCCGCTTTTTATATGTATATTTGCAAATGCAGAGTTCTCTCTTCCTCCAAGGAAGAATAAAAGTCCTCAAAAGAACTGTGCATAGTTCTACACTGCTCTTTAAGGATATATACTTTGCCTTATCTACTTAAAACTCGTCGCGAACTCTTGTAAAACGCACAGATGCTTCCATATTTTGAACATTCCTCTCTGAAAGGGCGAGAGCAGACCAGAAGTGGGCTCTGTGTCCGAGAAGGCCGCGTCCCTTCAGAAGGCGACCGTTTTGGGAGAACTCGATGAATTCGAGCTCCTCGCTCTCCACCGGCTTCCACGGGAAAGTGTACCGCTCGTCGCCTGGAGGAGTTGGGTTTCTGGTCCAAGAGGATAAGATTCAAATTTAGGAAAATAACTCAACCGCGACCGACTTAAGGTTGGCCTGTCGATGGGTGGTCATTCCCCTGCCCTCGACCTTTCCTTACCCGGTTATGGCGAAGTTCAGGAGGAGGTCGATGAACTTCTTCGACGCGCCGGCGTCTGCGGCGTCCTGGTCGACGCCCATGGGGAACAGGTGGAACAACTCGTCGCCGTGCACCACTCCCAGTCGCTGGGCGTACGCCTCGGCGGCGCTGTGCTGGCCTCGATGGCTGAGGAGGTACAAGAAGGCCGGAGCGGTAGCGGGGAGGTAGGCGGCGTGCAGCCTCATGGCCTCGTCCAAGCTTGACAGGACCACGCCGTCAGTGAACATCTGCGACGGGCAGTGAGAGTCAGCAGTGTATGCGCACACCTCCCGTTACTTCACCCTGTGAGGAGAGGGTAAGTGCCTTCAAGGGTTCCTTCTGGGGGAGGGCACGTACGTTGGACAAGTCGTAGATGTTTTCGCGCGTCAAGTTGTTGGCCCCGAAGTAGAATTCTCGAATTTCCTGCATGATCTCTGGGAGGTCTTCGGGCCGGGCGGTGTCGTTGAACCCGAAGCATACCGGGGCCATGACGTTCAGGTTGGCATCGATGGCCTCGAGCTGTTTCGAACCTTGGATTGCGGCTGCGATTCGATCAGAAGAGCGAGGTATGTGTTATCCTCAAATGAAATTTCTTTGAATTCGTTGACGAATGAATCCATGCAAATGGTCACACAGGCTCACCTGCCCAAAGGCCGCCCTCGTTGATGTTGAGCCCAGCCAGCCAGGGCACGTCCAGGGCCAGTCCGCTGGTTATGGTGTCGATGGGGTGCATGTCGAGGAAGGGCACGACCACCTGCCCCTCGTAGTGCTCGCCGCCCTCGACGACGGGCCCCCAGGTGACGAGCGGGCACAGGCCTTCGTCGCGGAGTTCAGACTCGTGCGCCACCAGGTCTCGTGCGGGCTTGTCCCGCAGGCAGGACAGCAGCTCGGCGGACTGCTTGGCCGTGCTGGCCTCGCCGACCGCGTCTCGGCAGCCCAGCTTGGCCCCCAGCCTCAGGGCCAGGCGGCGAGCCGCGGCGCCGGACTGGGGAAGGCCAGCCGTCAGCGCCGAGCCTCCCATGGACACGGCGCGGTGGAAGAGCCCTGTGACACAGTGTTGTAGGCGCGCACTTGTACCACTCGTTCCACTCCTCTGTTGAACACTCACCCCCGCTGCTGCGCGCCATCAAGTGGCAGTGCGTGCTGACGGCGCCGGCCGCGTGGCCCATCAGGGTCACCTTGTCGGGGTCGCCGCCGAGGGCCGCGATGTGCTCCCGCACCCAGCGCAGGGCCAGCTGCTGGTCCTTGAGTCCCCAGTTGCCGCTGGCGGCCGCGTCCCCGGTGCTGAGGAAGCCGAGCGCGCCCACGCGGTAGTTGAGCGTCACGAGCACCAGCTCCCTGTCGAGCAGGTACTCGGGGCCGTACGCGCCGCTGCCGCCCTCGTTGAAGGAGCCGAGCGCGCCGCCGTGCAGCCACACCAGCACGGGGAGAGCGGTGCCGTCCTGGGTACCGTTGGAGGGCTACGCAGGCGATGGAAGGAGTTCAAGTCACGCGTGACCTACGCCCATACGCGCGAGGGAGGGCGTCGCCTTACCTTGGGAGTGAACACGTTGAGGTAGAGACAGTCCTCGGAGCGCGTCATGCCCTGCGTCGTGGCGGCGTTCTCGTGCTGCATGCACACCGGCACGTCCTGCAGGGGCGGCGAGTCGCGCGCGCCCGTCCAGGCCTCGGCTGGGACCGGAGCCTGCACCACAAAGGAGCCCGTCAACAACACCGCTGCATTTGGCCTGAATCGGAGCCGGGCGTCTTGAGTACTCTACCTGGAACCGGAGGTCGCCGACGGGAGGCTTGGCGTAGGGCACGGCCGTGAAGGCGGCCACCCTCCTCCCCGCCTTGGTCGTCAGCCAGCGGCCGTTCAGCCAGCCCACGGACAGCTCGACCTCCGGGCCGTCAGCCTCCACCTCGGGCTCCATCTTGAGCTGCTTCTTGACAGTCTTGCCGCGCTTGGGCTCCTCCTTGGCCTGGGCGTCGGCGACGACGGCGGCCGCCACCAGCAACGCCAGCAGGAGCACGGACACCCTCATCGGACCGGCCATTGTATGTTCTGTTGTTCGACATTTCCACGTGTTATTTAGAAGAACTACCGGCTCATTCTGTTGCCACTGTACGTGGAGCTTCATAGTACAGCCCTATGGGGGTGCTGATCGCCGACGCGACGCACTGGGTCAACTTGACGCCATATCGCGCCTTGCATTCGGTCATGGTCACGGTCACGACCCTACCCTCGGTGCATCAGCGCAGTGTAGGAAGGTCTCCGCCGGTGTCGACATCTTCGTGTCCAGGGTCATGTCCATGTCCACGCACTACGTGGCGTGACGTGGCGGACCAAACCGGCAGTGTCCTAGCGAGCGCAATTTTTGCTCGGCGGACATTCCGTATTGCTCGTTACCGTACTTGCACACGAGTTAGCGGTCATTTTAACATTATTTAAAACCACATACAAAATGATTAACCTCTGGGTCTTGATATGCGTTAAAATACATTAGGGACGGTTACTTTCTTTAAAATTTTGGGAGCATGAAATCATGACTTTTCTTTAAAAGAGAATTTTTTTTAAAAATGACTTGTAAGTACTACTCACCAGGAAAGGGTAAATCCTTACAGCAAAGCCCAGCAGCAGTGTGGAGCCTTGGCGCGAGCAGAAGTGTGCTCCGCGCAGATTACAGACGAGAAAGGAGGGCTGATCTCTCTTACTTCGGCGTTACTTAAGTCAGCAAAATATTCAGGAAAGTTGCAGCAATAGCAGTTGACCTCGCCACGGTGTCAAAAGACCAATTGCCACGCGGTGCCACGCCAGTATTGATTCTCTGGGTTTCTTTCATTCCAAAAACAGACGATCGATACTTCAGGTATTTATTTCAAGAGAAGAAACCAATTGAAACCAATCCTAAATGGCTCTTCAATTTCTGCATTTACACGCGCATGAATTCAAACTGCCCCGCTAGAGTCGACCAAATATCGAAGCCCAGCTCGAAAACGAGTTGTCCAACTCAAGAAACTGCAAGTTTCTTTCCTATCGAGATAATTTTAGGAAAGGTCTTCGGATTTTCAAAATAACTGAACTAGTTTCTAAAAATAGATCTACACATTTCAAGTTGATTGAAGCAGCTTGCTTTGGATGTTTATCGACTTCTTCCACATCCACTTCAATCCTGTCAGTTGGTAAGCGCGTTTTTAAAAAAGTGACATTAAACAAAGCGGCACCAAAAAAAGTTCCTAGTCTGATTGGGGATTTATTGATGTACTTTGTTTACAAGGTCTGTCAAAAAGAAATTTTCTAGCTGAGGCCATGTCTGCTAAACGTGAAATTGATGAAGTTGAGGAGGCTGAAGAATCAGGAAGTGCCCCAAAACAAATCAAAGCGGACAGTAACGGAGGGAAAGCTAAATCAAAGAAAGTGAAGGATTCGGACGACGAGAACGGCGTTGGAAGCGAAGCGGAAGATGATGAAGACAAAAGTGACACCGAGAAAGAAGACGATATACCTTCAGTGCCGGTCGAAATACCAGAGAAAGAAAAAGGGGTAAGCTATGTTAGCTGTCTTTCCTCAGCTAGTGGGATTTAAATCGTATATTGTAGGTTATCCGCTGAACCCTAGGGCAATCGCCGGCCAAGTGGGCCGGCTGGGCGTCCCTTTCCATTCGTGCCTTAAGCCATTCCAGCTCTAATTTTATGACTCACAGGTACCCTGCAATCACATTTAAAATTGGTTTTGGTAATTAGCTAACATGCAGACCGTTCAAATGTGAAAGTTCAGAGCAACTTCTCTCTCCAATAAGTGTATCTTTGTTTGTCCCCCCTCCCCCCTCCCCTTGCTCTTGTCCTCATGTTTCCACTCTTATGATTTGTTACTCAAAAATTCCAGATTGCGTTCCATTTATGAAAGATTTTCGGTTGATTCTTCAGTTTAGTTTCATTCAGACCTAATTTCCTCAGCTTTCTTTTATTATTATTATTTTTTTTTCTATCTGGGACAGTTACACTTGAAATGAATCATTAATTAGTCTTGTTGTCACTGTTTATCCCAGTGTTCAGTAATATACTGCATTGTCACCAACCGTATCATATGCTTTGTGACCGTATTGTTGTCACTGCCAGGCATTTGGCCTTACGAACATGTATAGAAAGTCATTCTCACATACAATGAAATCTCTTGCAGAAAGTTCTGGGACCTGAGGGAACTGGAGTGGTCTTGATCTGCGGAGGTACCAACTGGGATGCAGCTGGACGTAAAACTGCACCAAAGGGATGCAAGAACTCAGGACCCAATCTATGGTCCCCTCACAGGTTTTTACCTCTTGCAAACATTCGTGTACGTCTCGTGGCATCTGGCCCCAATGCTGCTCATAGCATTGTGATAACTGAAGAAGGCAAAGCTTACAGCTTTGGTAATATATTTATATTCTTCCAATCATTTTTGTGTTATGTTTTTTTGTTTTGTTGTTTCAATGGTCTTTATGTAACTTTTTATATTAGGACGAAATGAGAAGGGACAGTTGGGTCATGGAGACGAAGTTCGTAGAGACACACCATTGATCATAGAATCTGTCAAAGATGAAGTTCTTGTTGGAGCAGCATGTGGCAGAAATCACACTCTTCTTCTTTCAGGTTGGACAAAAGATCAAACAAGGATACTAAATACTATAAAATGTAGTATGAATTTTTAACCATATCTATCTTTGAGTGTCTAAAGTATGCTCTTAAATTTTCAGTCAATGGAGAGGTATTTTCTATGGGAGACAATAAAAATGGTCAGTGTGGTGTGAAATCGTCCTCCCAAGCTACTGTTCCAACTGCAACTTCAGTAAGGCTAAACCACAATTATACACCTTACAGTATTCAGCCTCTTTTCTATATGTATTTCTTTTCCTTCTTTTTTTAAAGATCTCATATAAAGGAGCACCTATTGTCAAAGTTGGCTGTGGTGGTGAATTCAGCATAATATTGGATTGCAAAGGTGCTATGCATTCCTTTGGACTTCCGGAGTATGGGCAGCTTGGTAAATCAAATTCTTGCTTTAATTCACAATTTTGTGTACTACTTACTTTCTTTCCTCGTACTGATAAAATAACTTCTCTCTGCAGGTCACAATACAGATGGGAAGTACTTTGTTACGAGTACCAAGATGGGTTTTCATTGTGAGATGACTCCAAAGCGCATTGTATGCTTCATTGAAAGAACCAAGGATGGTAAAATCAAGCCAGTTGATGTTGATGAAATCAGAGATTTTTCATGTGGCACAAATCATACTGTATGTAATCTAATCTGATCTTTTTTGCTGTTATTTTAAGCATAATACATCCTGATTTTTCTAAAATTTTTGATTTTACAACAGTGTGCTATTGACTCTCGTAAGCGGCTATTCTCCTGGGGATTTGGTGGCATAGGCCGCTTGGGACATGCTGAGCAGAGGGATGAATTTGTGCCAAGACTCATCAAGTTCTTTGACTCTCAAAATAGAGGTGTTCGTAATGTTTGGTGTGGATCTTCCTACAGTCTTGCTATCAATGATTTTGGTAAGTGTGGGGTCATCTAGTTTTTAAAATTGTGCACCTAGGTACATCTTTCACACCTGGTTTGCTTTCCTTGTTTTGTAGGAGTTATGTATATGTTTGGACAAAATAAGCGCACTGGAGAGGCCAACATGTATCCAAAGCCAATCCAGGATCTGACTGGCTGGAATGTCCGATCTGTTGGAGTATCCAATACAAGTATTGTTGTTGCTGCTGATGATAGTGTAATTTCGTGGGGACCAAGTCCTACCTCCGGAGAACTGGTGAGGATTGTTTGATTTTCTATTTAATTTATTTTGCTTTTCTTGATTTTTCTCTACAAATGGTTCATTGGTTCTTCATGTGAACTGCACAGTGTGTTTTTCCAAAGGTTGCCTTAGCGGAGATTGAACTTTTAGATCGCTAATGGCATACTTTTGTTTCTTGTTGTGCGTAGTCATTGAACTGCGTTTTTAAGTTGCTTTTTTATCTAATCTAATTTAAAAAATGACACCTTTAGGTGCTTGGTATCAAAATCATCGCTATAGGGAAATCTTAATGTGCTTGGTATTAAAACTTAACTTATGTAATTTCTTTCTGTAGGGTCTTGGTGAAACTCGTAAATCAAGCACAACACCCATTGAAGTCAAAAGTTTCGATGGAATGTATATTGAACAGGTTACTTGTGGTATTGCACACACACTTTTCATCGTCCGAGACAAATCAGATGAAGACAAACAGAGAATTGAGTCTTTTGAAGGATATATGCCTGCTTAAACCAGTACAGGTAAATCGGATTGAATATTGCTAATCCCTGTAACTCTAAGATGATTATCTGGAGTACAATTTTACATGGTACTCATTATCCTTTATCCCTGTGGAAACAATTTTAAAAGTTACTTGTTTGTTCCAAATGAAACATTGTACCTTATGCTCTATATGTGTGGGTATGATTAAGGCTGCTTATCATTCAGTCAATTTTACTTACAATTTTTATTGTTGGTTGTTAATGAGCATGGTTAGCACATTTTACTGCTCCCTATTGTGATCATAGGGGCTATCTTTACAGTTTCTACAGTTTCAATAATTTATTTGTATATTGTCCTCTCACTAATGTGAGTCATATGCAGCTTCTATTTAGCGTATAGTTGTTGTATCTCTCCCCCAAGCCAAATGTAAACATTCATCCTTCAGATTCTAAAAATTCATGTTTTATTTCATCTTTTTGTTTTTTTGTTGGTCTAGTGTGGTTTTCTGCCTAGACTGTTAAGAAGCTTTATGAAATTGATTTAACTCTCTACTTATCTCCCCAACAATGCATTGTGTAATGAAGTTTTCTGTTTCTTATACTTAGTACAAATATTTTTTTCATTTTCCTCACTATAGTCTTGTATTTTATAGTGGATATAAGGATAGAGAATCAGTGTTCTGTTCTGGGCTTGGCATTCTAACTACAGTCTAACATTCATTTCCTAGTTGTTGTTTTTTTACATTTTTTTAATTCATCTATTCTTGTGATCTTATGTATTAATTGACTTTGTGATGTTAGTTCATGTCATTGTACACCATCAGTTTTGTGGTTTGTTAGGTAAAATATAAATTGCTGTCATTAGAGAGCAAATATTCCTAGGGGTACATGAAATTTAAAGGAAGCAATCAGCTATAAAGCTTCAGCATTTTTTAAATTGAGGAAATACAACATCATTAAAAGTGCTGGTTGTCAATGTGGAGTCAAAAGAGAGTTCGAGTAGTGTGGCTGGATTATTTGTTGGCTCTCATGCTGGTGTTGTTTGAACTCGTCCGGTTGGACTCAATGTGGCACAATGTGGCATTTTTTGCATTTTGCTGTCTGAAATCGCAATGAATATGGGCCGGATAACAGCATGAAGGACAGCCCAAGTTTACTTAATTGTTTTTAAAACTGAAAAAAACTTCATGCAATTTTGTGTCTGTAATATGCATTGTAGTACCACTCAAAGCACAATTTAATTTAATATTTCTCTAATATCAAAACATTGACTCTTTTGGATTAAGTTCTCCACAAGCCACAAAATTTTGGAACTACCATATACATTTTGAGAAAGCTGATGCAAACTATACAGACCTCCTCCCACGCTAATACTTCATTCAATTTCTTAAGTTTTAGAGCTGCCTTTTGTTCCAAATTGTGATAATGGGCTAACTTTTTTTATTTTAGAGACAACATATGTAATTTGATGTGATTTTTCTATTTATTTTTCCTATCATATTTTCTTCAGCGTAATTCTCTGGCATATCATCCATAGTTTACCTCAACATTCATTTCTACTTTTTGTTAGAACTTTCGTACTATTTCAGGGCACATCTGAGATAAATGGTCTGTGTGTCTGTAATTTATACCATAGCATAGTTGCTTTGCTTTCTAGCAAACTTTAGGTCACAAAATTATTTTACAATTTCTTATCTTGTGTGTTGTGTGCAGTTAAACTCTTATGATAGCTAATTGGTTGAGGTGCGACCCTACAATTAGTCTGGCTCTCTTACTTTTGAGAGGGTTTTTGTTTGCTACATGATTACATAGTATCCTTCCTTGTAAAGGTTAGTGTAAGTAATGTGTAGAGTACCTAGATTCATTCATTCTTTTTGTATCAGTATTAAATTAAAACTACTACCACTATTTGCTGTGGATAAAGATCTCAATGGGTGGTATTGTTCTTATTATCAATACTCCGAAAGAAAATTGACGTGTAAATGCAAATTGGACCATTTTATACAGCTAAAGAAAATGGTATTACATGATCGTGCTTAGCCTTACAAATTGATTGTACTGATCCCTTATACCGGTAATATTGGCTTTATATAAGTTGGACTTTGAACCACATCTACCTCTTATTCCTCATCAAGTAATATTGTTGTGTTTTATGGACTTTATGGATCTTGATCTGAAGGTTCAATGATTCAGTTTGGCTCTTTACTTGAGCTTGCCGCTCTAAAATAAATTCCATATGTATGAGGCTTCATACAGGTTACACATTAAGAAACATACAGGGTGTGCTCTCCATTATTCACTCCTCAGTATGTTGCTCAATGTGTAAACGTCCTTTAATTATTTTCCTGTGGCTGGGTGAAAATGTGGGCAACTTGCATAACATTAATTTTAAAATGGCTCATGGTTCTTGAGCTTACTTTGAAAGAAAGCTCCTTTTCTTTTTGTGTATACATCTTAATCTTGCCAACTCATGTATTATTTTCTATTTTATTCAGTAGTTTTAGATCAATCCTTCCTGTTTTCTTTTTACTACTCAAATGTTGTAAATAATGGTCCAATGAACACTTGTATGCATTTACCCTACTAATGTCTGTAATTTCATTCTTATATGTTCTGTAGACATAGGCTGTATTTTTTTATACTTTACCCTTGTGCAGTACTTAATGCATTATTGCAATATGCAACATATTTTGATACATGATGCTAAAATAATTAGCAATTTTTGGAGATATGGAAATATTAAACGAGACTTGGTTTTAAATAATCATACTGTTTTAATCAATTGCCTTTCTCTTGTCAATGGTACAGTATTATTTCATTTACTGGTACAAGTAGTTCATTTTGGAAGTAAATTTCTTTCAATTAATATTAAAAGGTTACAAAGCCTTCAATTGCTGGGTTTTCAAGTTTGACTTGACTACTTGCAAAGACAAATGTTCACGTTAAATTTCATACACGCTTCACTTCGGAAATTTATAAAATCAATTTATCAACAAACTTTGGTTTGTATTGTAATTAAAAGGTACTGCTAGGAGTTTTAAAGTATCCATTTCAGTCAAATGACCTGAACGATACAGTTCTAGTCCCTGATCCTAGTATTAATTGGGAAGTAATGATTGATAAGCCTCTTATATCGTTACTGCTGACATTTGCAAGTTCACTGAGAATTTCACTTGCTTTGTTAGGGCCGATACATTTTAAGTTCAGAATGTAAATAGAACTCACAATGATAGAAGATGCCATTAAAAAGCGGTCAAGCTCTGCATCAGCAAACTTCATCCTATGATGAGAGCAAATGTAAGTTTTTGTGGACCTTTGGTGGTGAAGGTTTACAGCTAGTGAGGTGAACTGAGAAGATCAATACCTTTCCTCTCGACTGTGCTCCCATCGGTTAGTAGCCATCCAAAAGAACCGCTTATATATCTCATCTCTTTGCAAGTACATATACTCTAAAACTTGGTCACACACTAAGAACAACTCACTAGTCTCATCCATCCACTTTTCCAATGCTTCCAAAAGAACTGTTATGTAGTCAAAAATTGAATAGATTGGTACCTGAAAAATGATGCAAAATCAGTAAAAACAATATACCATGGATCTTTAAACAAGAGGAAAGAGAATGGGAAAGAATAAAACCTTGTACCTTACACCCTAATGTGGAAAAAAGTCTGGTTTCTGACCGGCAAATGCTTCGCAAGTTAAAAGCATGTCCCCATTTTGAAAGGTATTCTTCAATATGCTTCGGGGATAGCGCCTGTAATGAAATAGCATATTGTTGGTAAAAGACATGTAAATAACATACATATCTATTATTCCTCCATAGTGGAAAGCACTAAACTGCAGACTGCAGGACAAATTTTGACGCAATTTGGATAGAACTCAGAACTCTCAATAATGCTTGCTTTTGAGATCGTTCTGCAACACGACGCCAATACTTCCTCTGTGAGCTGAGATCCGCTGAGCTTTCACATGAATACTGCCACACATCAGTAGTATGATTGATGACAAACCTGAATCAAATGCAAAGTAATCAAAAATTTGCATAGATTTACGTTGTTTTAAAATGCTGGTGATTTCAGAAAATACCTGTCAAAAATGTCAATGGCTAAGAATTTTACTTCTTTGGGGAGCTCAAACAAAGCGCAAATACTGAACACTATTTCAACTACCCGTGTCGGAGTTGATTGGAAAGGTAAAGCTCCTTCAGCAATGCATTCTTTCTTTCTTAGTGTATTTTGATCCTTCAAAGTAGAAATGAATTCCAAGAGATTCTCATCTAAATTATGACAAATTAATACAGTAATCGTGTTATAGTTAAAACTGCGCTACCCAGGGCCGTGATAAGGTCGTTAACCACATTTAACCATGGTAAATCAAAGTTGTGACACAAAATTTTGTTCCAAAGAAGACTTGCCGGTACCTACAGTCACATGCGGTACCTACCATATACATTTTTGGAGACAGATGATGGTTCTATCGGAAAAATGTTGTTGGCTGGTGTTACAAACTCAAAGTCCATTTTGATTGTTCAAATCTCTGGCTTTCAAAGTCAATTTTGTTTGGACACTACGCCTAACTCATGTGATTTTTTTTTCGTATTTGAGACGTCTCCTGTTTGAACGAAGCGAGGGGATGAGGGGATTGAGCGCGCGCACCTGTTCAACTGTTTCGTGCCAATAATAACGGTTGCTCTATTCGCCCCTCAATCCGCAACCCGCGAAGCGACAGCGACAGCTCTGCGGCGGCAGCTGATCACGGCATGCGTTTAGAAGTCACATTTCATGGATTTTAATAATTGTTTCAATATTTTACATTCTAAATTTATCTTCTGAATATAAATGGGCTTCTTTTACAGCGTTGTCAGTTGGCGGTGACGTTGTGTCAGTCAGTAGTTCGTGCTTCTTGACAAGCCTTCACGGTTAGAAAGAAATCAAGATGTGCGGGGGGAAATGTAATTTACTTACTTTGGCCGTCGCGAAATGTTGCGATGTTGAATGTTGCGATTATAAATGCAGCAAAGCTTAGTTTCTTGAATTTGTGTCAAAACCAAAATTTAAATCAACTGAAATGTCTTTTTACTATTGTGGTTGGAATGGCTGTGGCCAAGTTAGTGGCCATCCTATGATCATTAGTAAACCAGCAAAACTTTCTTTTGATGGCCCAATTGTCAATGTGTCATGCACTTGGTCTGTTCTAGCTGTGATTGCAGGTAATATATGAGTAAAATTCAGACTTCCGTTTGAACCAAATAAGAATAGCAAAATTCATAATGAACTCTTTATGCATGATGTTTCAGGCAAGTCAATGACGTTCATGGGTTTTGTAGAAAACAATATAAATGTCCGAAGGGAAATTTTTCTCAGCAATAGCGCTCAACCTATCCATGTAAGATTTGAAACTTTTTTATGCATTAAACCACTTATCTCTACATGATGTAACATGATTGCTAAATGTTTTTCTTTCAGCTGTCTAGCTGTCAAAGCCGCACATTGGTTGCATGTTCCAAAGGGAACTGCTATGACTACAGTCCAGAAAGCAATACATTACGGCAACTCGTTAAGTTCACAACATCTGAATTAGACCCCGAGGTAGAAATGAGACGTTTTCCTTTATTGAATCTGGTTTCCTTTCGAGCGAAACTGAGTCCTAATTCACTATCTGATCTTTTCTTTAGGAATCAGCTTCTGTTGATAATAGTTCAATTATCAAAGTTTCTTGCAGTGACTATGGATGTTTAGCTCTTTCAAAATCAGGTATTTTGATAGAATGTGGTTTTATACAAATAGAGAGTAGTTTGCCATTTTTTAAAACTAAATTTGTTCTACTCTTTCTCTGATAGGAAGAGTTTTCACTATCCCATCACCTTTAGTCTTACCAGGCTTAGTTGTTACTGATATTGCTTGTGGCAATGAGCACTATGCACTCTTGACTAAATGTGGCTTAGTCTATACTTGGGGAAGTGGCAGGTACTGAGGAACTATTGATTCCTAATATCTTGAGTCCCATGTGACCATCCATCAGGTCATATTGCATGGTAATTGGGACCGCTTGAGACTCAAGGTGTTAAGTGTTTCTGAAAAAAATTCCAATTTCATCATTGCAAAACTTAAATTGTCTATCATAGCATGCATAATTTTTATTTTTCAAGTCGAGGCCAACTTGGTCATGGGGATCTTGAACCAGAAGAGAAGCCCCGTCTTGTGGAAGCTCTGGCTGGAATGCAAGTGTGTTGCATCAGCGTAGGTGCTTGGCACAATGCTGCAGTAACATCAAGTGGTGATCTGTATACTTGGGGCTGGGGTACTGATGGTCAGCTTGGAATTGATGACAGTGTTACGGACGATGACCATGACCATAGACCTACAGGTATATGTATTTTGTATTATGATAACCCTCATGATTGCTTTTGTCATTATTACTCAATATTTGTTGTATTGATTGTAGCCTCAAAGAAGCTGAAAACCGATGCCCAGGTTTCAGTGGTGAGTTTTCCCTGACCTTTTTTTATCTCAGAGTAGATAAAGAAGTTTTTTAAAAGTTCTAATTCTTTACGAAACTTTATCTGCTGCAAGGTATGAAGTGTTTATTTCTTTCTTCAGTTACAGGAAAGGAATGAGAAGTATCGAGGAATAGTGTTGGGGTGTCCTTCTCCGGTTGACACTAGTGCAGATGTGACTGCTGTCAGCTGCGGCTCACGACACACTGTTGTATTACTTGGTTAGTATATTTAAATTGTCATCATTTTCCCTTTATAATTCTATGCATTGTTTTATTTAAATCATATGTAATGCTTACAGTTGATGGCACTATATGGGGTTGTGGATGGAATGCTTATGGTCAACTTGCCTGCCCTCCCGAAGAATGCATTAGAAGTATTTATTTAAGGCAAATTTTTATACCTGATTTTAAAGGGAAAATATCAAATGTGCAATGTGGAGGGTGGAATTCTTGTTTTATTGTTTAATTAAAGGTTTACTCAAACATGTTGCACTAATTTTGTTGTAATAGGAGAGCAGCATAGCACCAAACCTAGGGGAGAAAGGCAGGATGAAGGACGGCACGTTTGAGTCTCAGTATAGTAGAAGAGGATGAGGACCCATCTTACACTTTTAGGTAGGTGAGGGAGATTAAAAACATTACCGCAGCAAATGTATGTTGTTTGGGCCATACATTCTGTTTGTACTGTTAGTTTTACCTACCTTTTCTCACAAAGTATTAGGCACTGAGCCTTTTTATGTAGTAGAAGGTACATTCCTGAAATGTATTTTTTCTTCTTATACAAAAATGTCGGTACAATTCAGTCAGAACAAAATGTGCCAATCTTCTCGATAGTATACATTTTTCGCTCAATGTGATGGGAGGGTTGAGAAAGCCTTAGGGGGGTTGCTCGATTGGAGAATTCCGATCGGTCACTTCGTATCGCCGGCGTACACCACTCTGGGCAACCAGTGGGGCCGGCGGGCGCGAGTCGCGAGGGAGGAGTCGTTTCATAGTGTCAGGGATTGATGGTCTTATGGCGCGAGGCATGAGGGCGCCGTGGACAATGGCACGGCACGGCACGGCATGGGCATGGCCATGGACAAGGATGGTGAGGGCACGCCTGCCGTCTTCCAGCCGGGCCGAGTGAGACAAAAGGCTTAGGCGGAGGCGTCCCCATGCGGAGGGAATGACAAACAGACGACGTATTCGCGGCCCCCCTCTATCTTTGGTCGCGTTTCTCTGACGAGTTTTTTCCCCTCATCGCAAACCTAACTTGTATGTATATATGTATATTTTAACACGATTTTGTGTGTGTCTAACTTAATCTTGAGAATAACTTTGTGAACGAATCGATGCTCACCTGATGTGTTAAACAACTGTGCCCAAAAGTTATCTAGACACGAAAGAGTCGCAAAGATGAAAGAAAGAAAGAAACAAACATCAGTGCTTTGGTAGTTTTTGTGCCTTTGCAAAGGCACCAAACTCTTAACGTTTTCATTGTGCCTGCACTGAGTTGTCCTTGTCTGCTCCGTAGCCCGTCGTCGGGCGAGCCGCGGCGCGACCGCCCGTGAGGTAGGCAGCCCAACTAACGCCTGAGTGTTCGGCCTCCCGGTCTGGTGGGGTGATAGTGGCGGGCGCAGGCCGGCTGCCGGTGAGTCAGTTCTGTAAGTACCCCCTCCCGGTATAAACCCTGTTGGTATCTAAGGTACAAATTATCTCGGGTAATAAATATACCACATAGAGGCCTCGTTAAATGTGTACCATGCGATTAGAGAAGACACCCAGAACGGTTATCTGGATCAAACTTGCCCTGATTAAATGTTCAAACCTTTAAAGAGTTCAGACTTGACAAGTTGTGCACTTTGAATTGTCCGACTTGGCAGTTGTCGTCCTAAAAGTGTTCAACGCCTCTGTTGAAGACTTCCCGCGGAGGAAATGTTCAAAAAAAGAGTCATGAACATGACAAGTTACTTATCAGTGCAGGCGTACGCTTACGTATGCGTGACTATGAAATAAGTACTTTACGGCAGTTGCCGTCCTTTGAAAACAGTTCTAGGACATGCACTCTTCATGATTTTGGTTTGGCCTTGCCGACTGGCTTTGGAGGTCCTGTAAGGTGGGAGACGAGTTGGAAGCTAAAAACAAAGGTGGGGATTTGGAAAAGAGAGGGGAATAGGGGGGCGGGAGGGGGTCGGGTGAAGGGAGATGAGATGATGGACCAGGAAATGACACGAAGCCTTTTCACCTCTCATGAGCAGGTCCACACAATCCCGTCATTATACGTGCTCATAATCACTTTGGCGGCCCCGGTGCATTGAAAGGCATTCGTCCTGGCCCTTGTTGTGCCAACTCGCGGACCCGCTCGGCCCTGAGGGATTGGGGGTGGGGGGGTCCTAAACCCCCCCCCCAAACCCTTCCAGCTTCTGCGGTTATTGGCTTCAAGTTGAGGCGCGGGCGGTGGTGGAAAAAGAAGGGGGGGGGGGCGATGCTTTTGACACTCACGGAAAATGAAATGAATTTTCGGGGGGGACGCGATGAGTGTGGCACAATGTGAGGCAGGAGGGAAGTAAAAAATATAAAGGGAGGAAGGGGGGGGGGGTAACCGGAGGGAACGAAATTAAAAGCGTGGCGCGGCGTCTTTCGCTGCCTGGCGCAGCAGTAGTGTCGGCCCGGGCGGCTGTTGTCGAGAGATGCAAATTGCAAACGCGCGGACTTGTCACGCTCACGTCGCATCGACGAACACATTGGTGCGTCAAAATGACCCATCTCTTTAGTACTTGCTTTTTGTTTTCAGTTATTGGCCCCTGCTTTGATTTTGGGGGTGAGGGGTCGGGGCAATACTTTCGCGGGACACCCATAGCACATGGGCTGGTTTCGCACTATATTGCCCATGTTGTTCCTGTGGTGACACTAGGCTGCACTGGCCTGGTAGGACCGCGTGTCGTATATTATGTCCTCTGGATCTGCACGTGCGTTTTGCCGGCCTTCCTCGCGCGCCAAATTTGACGGCGGCCCTTACTACACTGCGGGTACGGCTCCATTACGCCCCGAACCTAAAACGTCGCATCCCGAACATTCCCGAACCGGTCCTCGTCCCGGCCCTCCTCGCCCGCCTGCACGCCCCGCCGCCCGCTCCACAACAACGAAAACGAAATGCAGCGAAAACTGCATCGGCCCGACAAAAGAAAACGAAAACGAAAACGAAACAAAAAAATAAAAAGAGGAGGAACAGACACAAAATATATATATGGTGCACTGGGTCAGACCAGAGGGGGGGAATTATTTTGGGCTGGGCTGGCCGACACGAGGGGGGCCGCCGCCGCGCCGGCTGGTCCTGGGCTGGAAGGGGCGACAAAACGAGCAAGACGAGTCCTCGCCGAAACGAAATAAGGCGAGTAATAAAAATGCCCGGCGAATGCAGTCTGCAAAAGTGCAAGTGCGGGCGAGCGGGCCCAACCCAACGGCCTGTGGGGAGACAAAGGACTGCAGCACACGGCCCTTGGCGTGGCCCTGGCGTGGCCCTGCCGAACCGCGCTGCAAAAAAAAAAGAGGAAGTATAATAATGGAGTGCAGGAAGTGCATGCAAGATTGAGGTGAGCGGGCGGCCGGGCCCGGCCAGGCTGCGGAGTCATGTCACTTTCGGTTTCAGGAACCCGCTCGCTTCCCTCCTCCAAGTCAATGTTTGCGACGCGCGGGTCGGTCGGTGTCCTCTTTCGCTCGCCTAAACGTTTTGGACACTGTGCCTCAGATAAGCCCAAGAGGTTCATTTTGATAAGCGGCGCAATGCGAGACGCGCGGGGTGGCCGTCGGCGGTCGTCTCGTTGTGATTCACGCCGTCGTCGACTCGTCCCCTTGTCGCGCCAATGTGCAACGAGACACTGCGGCGTGGCGTGGCGTGGCGGTGCGCTGGGACGGGAGGGTTGGGGGCCTTACG